GTTTTCTTGCCAGAGCCAGTCCACACTGGATATGTTTAGGTATGCTTGAGTAAGTTGTTTGCTCAGCTACTGATTTATCCATCTGTTTTCCTGTAAGTGCCAGGCCTTTATGAAAATTAAAGGAACTGAAATCTAAAATTTGCTGGCTTATATTAGGTGCAGCACCATTATGGAGAATCAGATGAGAGAGAATCAAAGTAGCATTACTGCAAAATCTGGAGGCACAGAAGAACAAGGTATAATCAGACACACTGGAATGGGACAGACTGAATCAGAAAAACAAACAAACAGAACAAAACTTTATACTTTTTTTGATTTCAGAACAAAATTTCATCAGAAATTTCTTTTGTCACCCTGAATCCCAATTATTAAATTTAGTTATCTCTATTTGCTATATAATAGTTTTTTCAGTTTTTTATTTTGGCCTTTTTATGAAGGGAAAATGCAGAGAGCTGAACAGATGAATTTTCCAGAGACCATAGAACAGGGGCAGGAAAAATGATTGGGGGTGGAAGGGGACTGACCTGAATTAGATGATGCACCATGTGCAGATAGTATGCTGTGTATCCTTATTTGTTAAATAAGCAAGAGAAAAAAATGTTCAACTTTAAGCAGAAATTTTTAAACAGCTCATTGAACTCAGATTCCTGGAGGTTGGAGGCTGGCAAAGATGATGAAGCCATTTAAAAAAATTCGAGAGACTAGTCAGTAAACTCTATAAACATGTGAGCTTAATGTCTGGTTCAGAGAAAATCCTTTGAAAAGTCTCAAGAGAGGTGTTTGGAAAACACCTAGAGAGCTCAGCTTGATTAAGAATAGCAGGATGAATAGAAGCAGGGGTTATCATGCTTAAATAACATGCTGAAGAGCACTGAACCGTACCTCTCAACCTCCAAATGTGCTCATGTGTGATGCAGGCTGCTGAATTGTGAGACTAATGGCCTAAATGTGTAGCAACAGTTCTGCTGAGAGTTGAACCACAATTGTCAGATTATAATGGTTAAGTGTGAACCCTGTTTTTAAGAATGTTTTCTCACGTGTGAAACAACTCAGTCAGTTTTTTAGCCTTTAACCGGGCTCATCTCTTTCCATCCAATCAATCTGTTACAGTTAGTAAGACAGGCTTGTTCAATTTACACAGGGAGTAAACTTCCCTAAATTAGGTGGTATGCTACTGATTTAAGCACAACATGCTACAGAACGTGGTCCACAAACAGCCACGTTATGCAGATGAATCTGAGAGACTGTTCAGTGTACACAGGCTGAGAAACCCATCCCTGCCCTATCCCAGTTAATCTGACCAGCCCATCCACAGCACATCCTACGGTTAAATCCAGACTCCAAGCACAATGCCAACTGCTGCTCTTCCCACATTGCTTACACAGACGGGGACCTTGCTTCTTTGCCGCACCTGTGCAGTTCTCTATGTGTCAGGGGTCCTTAGACAGTTGAGCAGCTTCATGGCTCTTGCTCTCTTTCTCACTTCCAATCTGCAAACCCAAGAGCTGCCCAGGACTTTACAGCAGATAGATTAGGAATGTGTAGAAAGTGAGACAACAGCATTTCTGGAAGAGAAACAGGAATGAGCAAAGCCCATGCTCATTTCTTGATGCTTTCCCATCCTCTCTGAGGAAAATGGTATCAGCTCCACACAACTTTCCTTCTCTGAATTCTTCCTCTGAAACCTTTTGCCAGTTCCTGGGCAATGCACCCTCAGACTCTACCTGCAGTTTGGGAGGGAGAATCAAGTACCCTGGACCCAGGCTGGTACCTTCTCACCCCTGAAAAACTCCTCAGGCTGTATACAGGTGACCAAATCCACTCCAATGCAGAATGTATGCAAATTGTGACCTATGTGAGAAGTCTCCACGCTGATAAGAAAACTGGCTAGGAGCAGGAGGTAGATGGTAACTGCCGAAGAATGACAAGGTTTTATTGTACTATTTCAGATATCAAGTTTGAGTTACCTGCAGCTCATAATTACACGTGGCCATAGAAAAAAATTGTGATAGGTTAAGAAAGTGGAGACACTACTGGGGCTGTCTCCCCATGGTCTATATATGGTATATAATGATGATGGAAGTGCATATTGAAAGCAAGGCATCTAAATTTACAAATTTGAGGGTAGGAGACTTAACAAAGAGGAAAGTGTACAGGAATCAGAAATAATTTGATCTAGTTAGTAGCCAACAGGTTACAAATCCAAGTCAGGGGAGAAAATAAACATGGAAGTAGCAAACAAAACCAAGAACATGGGCTATTTGAGACTCATAATCAGCATACTGATCAGAAGATTTGTAATTACTTTTATCAGTTTAGCATTCACTCATAATAAAGGAAAATGAGATCTTAAGGGTTGCTAACAATAGCCTACAAATCATGATAAAAGGCTGTTACTGTGGCTGTGTTTGTTACAATTCTAGACTGGGTCTATGTCCTTTACTGGATACTGTCACACAAAATGAATGTTATTAATTTGACAAAGGTGCAATGTAAGGAAACAAAGGCAGTATCAGGTCAGAGTAAACTCCAAGCAAATATTTTTGATCCTTCTTTAACTCTAAAAAAGAAGACTTCATGCCAAACAATGATAAAAAGATGAAATTTAAGTATGGGATCAAGTTAAAATAAATATTCTTTAAAAAAAACAACCCCAAATTGGCAAATTGGTATAAAAATGACTATTAGATTTCCTTCTAGGGAAAGAGAAAACAGGATGTAGCCAGGGGTATTAAAAATGGGCTAGCATTTCTAGATTTTACTTCTTCCTGATCTAAAATTCATTATGCTCCCACAAGTGCTGAATAAGAATGGCTCGTGTAGCAGCAAGAGATTGGATAGAGAGGTCGTAAGTGCAGTTCTGGCTATGTCTACAATAGAAAGTTTATTTGTTTCAACTATCCTGTGAAGAGTTAAAGCAGCAAATCTTCCCCAGTGTAGATATAGTTTAACTGATATAAGAGTCTCTGTATTACCACAGCCTACGGTTTGGGAAGCAGGTTAAGCTACAGAGATATAAGGCACTTTAATACCAGTACAACTACATTCAAAAGAGCTAAACTGCTAAAACTGGGAAGTACAGGCCACACTAAAAGTGAGGAGACTGTTTTTTGTTGACAGCTTTGGGCTGCTGCAATTTCTTTACTCATGTCACAAATAGGCAACTAGTCCAAATTAAGTCAACAGAGCTATTTCTGTACCAAGATAGTGCTCTGATATCAACACCCAGTAACAAAAAAATCTCTTTATTTTTTTCTGAGTTTGAAGAAATGTCAGACTTAGGGGGGGGGGAAAAATCCCAGATGACTCATCATGTCAAGTTGCATAAGTGATGTCCTGTTACATAACATAATGGGACTGACTCGATCCAACATGACATGACAGAACCTAACCCGTCAACTGTGAAATCAGAAAGACCAGTTCTCTCAAAACTGCAGCTGCAAAGAACATTGCTTTGGGGGGGAAGAAGAGACTGCTTTGAAATACGAAGAAAAGGGGTGTGTATATAAACACTTTATTGATACCTTAGCTATGAAAATAGTCATTCTAATACTAGAACACTCAAGAGTCTTAAAGACGTATCTTGATAGGAAGGAATTCACTTACTAGTTGGCACACTTTTTCTTTTACCCATTTCCGTAAGCATACCAGAAGGCAGAATAAGACAAATGACAATGGCCTCCACTTTCATTAGAGATTTTAAAGCTTGATATGAGCTCATTTACACTTACTTTATACAATTGTTATCTCTAGTAATTTACACAGAGTTATATAAGTGTACATATGATCAGAATAAGGACTCTAAGTCAAATTTAGTTAAAAACGAAAACCACAAAAACCCTAGCCCTGTATGCCTATGTTAATATGCAGAATCCTCCATGCTTAGAAACATGAAACTGGTATCAAGAAATAGAAATACTCGTTTCATGGGAAAATACTGCGATTTTGATTTGTGGGTGCATCTGGGCCTCTGAATGCTGTAAGAGTGGTCTTTAATATGACATAGGCTTCTGAGACAAAATGTAGAGGTTCACCAAAATATGTCTATTGAATCACTGCATTCTTTTCAGCTTCTAGGTGTCTGTATTTCAGGGTGAAAATACTTAAATGATAGTCAAACTATATCGTAGACACACAAGAAACAATCTATTCAGACTGTGTGCATCTATGTTTAAAAGAAAAATAATGCGAGGAAAGAATGAAAAATAAATGTGGAAAAATGCATAAAAATAGACAAGTTAAACATCAGCTGCAATTACATAAGAAGAAATAATAAAAGTGGGGAAACCAGGTCCAAAATTAAGTTTTAAATAGTAACTAATTGGGGGACATACCATTTTTCACGTCGCTCTTGGATATACCATCCCAAGAATTGGCAGTGTGTAGAATTACATTATTGTGTTATTGTGAATGTACTGATTTTATGCAATTTTTTAGAAGAGATATCTGGAAAGTACTTTCCAGGGTTAACTTCTTAAAAAAAAAGAAGAAACAATATTATTTCAACTTAATGCAGGATTACCATTTTATCAACCTGCTGCCTATATCGTACTGCCTATATCCTATATGAACTGTAGCTCAATGATTTTTTATGTACAGTTGTATTAAGTCTACAGAAACTAGCTTTTCATACTTGCGCTCTATTCAAATGGTAAAAATCTAACTGCTACCCTCATTACATCAAAAATAATCTTTGATCCAATTCCCACAGGCTTCTATTGATGTTGAAACATTTGACATTAACATACTTTTTTGTGTATGTCACAATATTTTCTTAAATCTCCTTTAGCATTTAATAAAGAAGCTAATTTTAACTGCTTATTGGGGCAGAATATACACTGTATAGTTCTAATGAACAGGCTTGGGTAAGCTGCTCAGTAAACATTCAAGTCTGAACCAACTTGAACTTGGTACAGTTTTAGATTTGGCAAAAGTATGATGAAACATTAACCCAGAAGACTCAGCACTCTGGGATCTGTCCGCAGAGTGTTGTTGACATGAGACAGCAAACTGCTTCTGGCATTTTTTCCTCATGGTCTGGTTCTTCTTGGCTTGCTGCAGCTACATGTGGCCAAAACTTGCCTGATGTCCATGAACTGGAAATGATCAACACAATACAGGCTCTCTATAGCTGATCTTGCTGTAATCATTCTTTTCTTTATACTTGTCATGATATAATGCCATCAAATTCTATAAAATAAAGGAAGTGCACTAAAAATTATTTTGTAAAAACTATTGCTGTAGTAGTAAAATAAAAAAAGCACTAGAGGAAAAACAGCATGCTCTCACTTCTCTACTCACATCCAACTACAGTAGCAGAATAAATATGAAAAAATAGGTGGAGCAGTAGTTTCAGTGACAGAGCAACTTTTTCACAACAGCCCAAGTGATCTGGGCACTCAGGACCAGATATACCGGGGAACAGAATGGAAGCTAGGAGCCTGTCACTTGGCAGTCCTAACCACCTGTCCTGAAGTGCCATACAAACACAGCTGTGCTGCTGCCAATATAGCAGACAGCAAAATGAAGCAGACTGGCATACCTGACGATGCCAATGGCAGGCCTGTTAAGTTCCCTACAAACATGGCCTTAGGCACTTCCAAGAATATTACCCGTAGGCTGTTAAAGTTTCATACTTCATATAATGGTTTTAAGAAAGCCTTCAGGTACTCATTGCTGAATGGTGAAGGAAGGAGTTCTGAAAGTATGCTCCCCTTCTGTTTCTGGCAATGTCTCCAAAGGTTGCTAAGCATGGATATCCAACAATGATGCGACTAAGCGTACAAAGCTGCGTTTCGTATGTTCTGCCTATGGAATTGAGCCATTGATAGAGGAGACACATAATAATACAGTGACTTACTTATGTACTTATGAGAAGTTTCTTGTTAGTAACAAATCCTAGTCTGGGTAAGAGACTACATTTAGTGGCAGCTAACTCAGCAATTCCTTTAACTTATGTGATGGAGACTTTTTCTGCTACTGGAGTTCTCTGTTTTGATCTCTCATGACATCAGTGATATCATACCATATGGCAGCCACACTTCATTAGAATAATGAATTTTAGCACGTGTTTCCATTCTCTAATAAATAATCTCCAATCCAAAAGCATTTGATGGATAGAATCAACATAAGCACATTCAGTTGTTGCCACACTAATCCTCAATCATATCTAGCAATTTTTAGTAATCCCAATATACCCTCATATCAAGACCGGAGCTTGTCAGCTACTGTCTAATAACACACTAAAGTGGGTACCTTATCCTGAATGCACTGTCTCTGCTGCTAATGAAATGACTTCTCTCAACAGACACATGCAACTCCCTTGAGAACTAATATAAATTAAACATTTACCTAACAACAGAATATTCCTCCATATCTTTCAAGTCATACTTTATTTATGTGGTGTCTTCTGAAATACCATCTATGAACTAGAATTGTATCAAAACTGGTTCAACCCAAGTGACCCAAAGCTGTGCTCTGCTCATGAGAGAAAGAGAGAAAGAGAGAGAGAGAGAGAGAGAGAGAGAGAGAGAGAGAGAGAAGGAGAGGGTAATGTTAAAATATTTTTCTGATTATTTTCTCAATTTCATACACCTCTGTACTTCCTAGTTCAATCAAAAGTGACAGTTTTCTTTACATTTCCAGCCTGAAAGAAACAGGTGGCACCAGGCAGCTCTCAAATAATCATATTCTCATTAAATAGCTAACCAATTCTGTAGGTTCAAGAGGGTCATCTAATGATTTGAATTTTTAGTTAAGTAAGCAAATAGAACCTCTGAACTTATAATTTGTCAGGTATTTTAAAAAATATATTACTTCATCAATAAAATATGAAATGTAAGAATCATTATTTTGACCCTATGTGCGATATAGAACATGACTAGATTCATGCTATGCATCCGATTTCACAAAGACTATGAATCTGGATTATTATTAATAGAAGCACCATGTTGCTACCATATATGTCTGTTAGTGCTCTTTGCACCCTGCCTGCACTACGTAAAGGTTCAGTCTTAGAGAAAGGACCCCAGATGATTCTTTAAGCCTTGGGATATTCATAGTTCAGAGAGATGCAAACAGTATTGTTTACTTTCATTAAACAACAATGCACTTTCTAAACTCATGTAACTTAATTAACTGACAGACAAAACACTTTCCATTTGTTCAGCAGAATTTACATGCTCAGTGGAAGAACAACTGCTTGTTTAGGCTACTTTATTAAACAATATTTATCCCCCAGTTGTAGTCAACATTTAATCAAAGCCAGCAGAGATGTTAATTTCAACCAAGTGAAGTCACTCTTCTTACCCAACTAGACTACTTATGCCCGAAGGCTGAAGACTTGAAAAATATACTAAATTTGCATTCCTGAATTATGAGTGTTACAGTGTGACATGTAAAGATATCATTATAATGCCTTAGAAATTTATGATTTTCCTGAAAACTGTAATTTCTACTATCAAATAAAACCACTGTGGTGGTACAGTTCCAAGTATCTTCCACCTTTCTGATCTCATCTCCTGCAGGACATCTCCCCAGCTTTATGTCTGTAGTATATGTGTATGTAATGATGCCCAACCCTTCCTGAAATTCTTCCAGAAACCACCCATCACCTTATCAATTCACTCTTTCTTTTATGTCATTACTATTTGTATCACTGAGACCCCTGTTTTCCCTGCAGTAACTTTGCTATGACTTTTTAATCAGTTAGTTTGCCTGCTTCCTGGGGGTGGGGGGGCAGGGATAGGGGAATGGAGTATGTAAAAATAAGAGGATTGTGGATTTGGTTTCACTTTGGGAAACAGCACTACAGAACATTTAAAGTTAGTGAATTTTTGAGGGGGAGTATCACTGCTCACTTAATTTAGAGAATGAATAAGTAAAATATCAAATAGCTTTGGTTTTAAAAGTTCTTGGAATACAAAGATTGGAGTGGTGTTGTAGACGTGGTGGTTCAGAAAATATTTAAGCAGCAAGACTTTTTTTGGTGATAACTTTTATTGGACCAATTGTCTAAAAAAGCTGGTCTAACAGCTCTGCCAACTACAGGTTGCTCCAACAAAGCTAAAAGCAAGCCAACATCTGCTTTGAGGTGGTTCTGATTTGATCCAAAGCAAAACTCGGGACAAAAGAAGACTGGTGTAACCCTTTACACACAAAACTTGTTTCTGGAATGAACGGCAATTAAATGAACCACAGCTGTCCAAGGAAAAGGTGTTAGCTCATTTAGGACAATGAGTCTGTATGTCTGTAAGACCTCAAGACAAAAGGCTTTCTTCCATGAGAAATTTTTAGCTTAAATGATATTACCTGAAAAACTATTTTGCTTTTCTTGAAGTACATAGTAGTTGATCTGTGCATAGAAGTATTGCTATGGGGCTCATCCTTTCTCCAACTCCCATGCACACCTGTCCAGACAATGAAAAGAAAATGAGACTTAATAGTCAGAACATTATTTCAAAACATTTTCTCTTTCATCCATTTTTCTTATCTCAATTAATTCTCAATTCTCATCTAACAAACACCAAACCTTCAGAGGCCCTAATATGGGACAACATAGCACGATGGTATTGTGGTGATAGATGGATTATTTATAAGGGCATGAAACAGATTGGAAAAACTAAACACAAAGCTGAAAAGAAATAACTAAAGTGTAGAAATGTTTAAATGACATGGGAGTAAATCTTTAAGCATGAACTATTTTCTCTCCAGTCTGCACTGCATCATTCTTTCAGCTCACACTCTTTATATTCTGAAATAATTTATTTAAAAGAAAAGATATTCAATACCGTGGTTTGGCTGTGAAAGAAATGAATACAGAATTAAAATGTGTGACGATTCTAGTAATAACGGATTTTAATAACACCACAATAAAAGTACACTGAGAATATGATTAAATGCACTGATATGCTGCTAAGGAAATATTAGCTACTCTATTGCTACCAACATAAAAATAAACATATGTTTCTCTGCATCTCATTGACACGACTTATGATTCATATTTTTAAGTACTGGATCTAACCAGTTGTCACTCTTACTAACTTTTATGAGCAACGTATCAGATTCATTCTTCATTGGGACATATAATGAATGAATGGTAATGAACTCTGGAAGCCTGAGTAGACTTGTTAACTCCATTTGATTTTCTGCATTGTAGCTGTAGCTTTTTATTTATTTATTTTAAATACTGCTTCATTTCTTTCATTTTTGCTATCCAGGGTCTTGAGCTGCTTGTTTTACTTCCCTCCCACCTAAGGGGATATACTAACGTTCACAATCAAAACAATACCAAGTTTTAGCATGCAAAACAATAATTTTCTGAGATTAATTTGAGTTTCATTTTATTGTTGCACATTTATCCTTTACGATGTAAATTTTTTACATCAGAATATTTATTATCAAGCAACACCCTGCTGTTAAAAATCTTTTTCTTTTTCTAAGCCTAGAGCAATTTTCTGTATACATGTGTGCACAAAGGAAATGGACATTTTCTGCACAATGCAGAAGCTATGGATTTTATTTTTAAGCCTCGCTATACAGCACAGTTTGGGGACCCTCCATACAAATTGCATACAAATCTATTCAACAGCTAGCATACAAATCAAATCAAAATACATCTGAAGGAAAAGGTACCTTTTTTCATTATTAATATTTCTGTTTGGATCTTTGGAAGGTTTATAACAAGGTTGTTCCCTTAAAAAGGAAGTTAATTTCTTCCAAATACATATGATAAAAGCAAAACTGGTTACCAAGAGGACAATATTTAATCACTACCAGTGGCCCGCATATGAATATTTTCCTATACCAGTTTCTTGAGATGTTGCATGGGGCATGAACAATATATGGTTTGAAAAAAGTCAAGGTAGGTTTTGAAACCACCAAGTAAGTAAAATATTTAGGTTTAAGTGGCTTTGAGAAAACAGTGGAGAATGGGTTCGCTTAGTCTTACATGTAATATATATATTAAGGGCAATTGTTACTGTTGTTACTGTAATCAATACAATTCTGGACTGATATTATATCAATGATTCTCCACCAGGGTGCCACAACACCCTGGGGTGCCTCGAGATCCTTTCAAGGGTGTTGAAGGGTGCCACACAATGTTAGCACTGTTAGGTATGCAAACACAAATTGACATGGTAAATCCAGGGATTTCAAATAAGAATCCATACCATTAAAGACATTCAGACTTGTTGTGGTCCTTCTGAGTTCTTTGTAACAGAGAAATTTCCCTATTCTTTTTTTTTGTAATAAAAATATGAATGAAAACCAAGTGCTGGTATTTTCCAAGTATAAAAGGTCGAGAACCACTGTTTTAGGTAGTAATTTTTAAGTTCAGAGATTATTTCTTAATCAGTATTCTCATAAATATCTGTTCCAAAATGCAGTAAAGCAGGGAACCAATTTCTATTCTTTGACTAAAGAAAATTCCAGAAAATAGGTACAGCAGTACGGTAGGAGGGCTGCCTAAATCTAGAGGTTGGGCAGACTGGAACCAGATGAAGGCTTGAAGTTGGGCAGGCCAGAATCAGATGAAGTTTAATACTTCCAAGTGTAAGGTGCTCCACTGGGGGGCAAATAACCCTCAACATACATACAGGCTTGGAGGTGACAGCCTGACTTACACCATGGCTGAAAGGGACCTAGGGGTAATGACTGACCATCTCATGAACATGAGCCATCAGTCCGATGTGGTGGCCAGCAGGGCAAACAACATGCTGGCATGCATCAACCGATGCATCTCATGTAAAACTAAGGAAGTGATACTCTCACTGTACTCGGCACTGGTGAGACTGCTGTTGGAGTACTGGGTCCAGCTGTGGGAACTGCACTTCAGTAAGGATGTGGAAAAACTTGAGTGGGTTCAGAGAAGAACCACCCATATGATCAGGGACTTGCAAGGCACGCCATATGAGAAAAGGCTGAGGGACCTGGGCCTCTTCAGTCTAAAGAAGAGAAGGTTGAGAGGGGACTTGATAGCGGCTATCAGAGAAGTGCATAAGGAGCTCGGTGAACAACTGTTCACTAGGGCACCCCTGGGGAAGACCGGGACCAGTGGATACAAACTCCTGGAAGGCAGCTTCAGGCTTAATACCAGGAAAAACTCCTTCACAGTCAGGGTATCCAAACTGTGGAATAAGCTCCCTCCGGTGGTGGTGCAGTCACCTACCCTGGAGGTTTTCAAGAGGAGATTGGACCATCACTTTGCTGGGGTCACCTAACCTCAGTTGTCTTCCTGCCTAGAGCAGGGGGGTTGGGGGTGGGGGGGCTTGACCTGATGATCTGTAAGGTCCCTTCCAGCCCCTAACAACCTATGAGTCTAGAGCTGCTCCCTCTAAAGGACCTCTTCCAGGAGGCCATCAATGCTAGTTGAAGTTGGTTTGTTTTTTTTTAATGAAGAAGTGATCTGAGACCACTAAATTAATTCCACCAAGGCTGGTATTTCCCAACCCTAGATTTGGTAACCTGAAAGCAAAAGGAATGGTATCCTGCCACTAATTCCTTTTACCCATCTAGATCCTTATCAGCAAGCAGTCACAGTCAGTTGTTTAAATTAGTGACAGGAAATAAAACACCGAAGTGAATCCTGGAGAAAATACAAGTGCCAAATGACAGCTACTGATTGAAGGAATAGGATTAAGGAATGTCACAAAGTGTCTAAAAAAGAGGTAATAGTAGAAATGTACAACTTGCGTAATAATTGGACAAAGTCAAAATAATCATAGAGTACATCTTCGTAGTTTGTTATAGTAGTGTGGCTGATGCTATGATGCTTTGAAGTAGCTTAGCTCAAGCAAAAGTGGCCACAAGCAAAAGGCCAACCCAATCTTTTCTCAGGTTACAATGGTCTCACTGTAGCAACAGCAATGTGACTGATGCCAGGACTCCCAGTTCTTTGTACTGCATTATTCTGAGTTCTCTTTCAAAATTTGGGCAGTGAATTTTGTGAAACTTTTCAATCCTTTCTGGCCATGTACAAGGAAGATCTGTTAGCTTTGGAAGTTATTGGCACATATCACTTTTGTTTCTTTTCTGTGTCTGCATTCATCTGGAAAGCCAGGGTTTCCACTCTGTGTGATGACCTTTATGAAATCTGACCTTTCTGTAGTTGTTCTTTCAAAAGCAGAAGCCACTAACACAGCATGAAATACAGTGAGAGGTTTTTCAGCAGCTTTCAACATGCTTTAATTAGATAACACAGACCCGTATTATTGCTATACAATGATGCTTGTTGCAGTTTCATAAGAATTCCATCTTCTTAGGGATTCAGATTTGTTTTAAGTAGGACCCCAGACATACTACATAGTAACTCAGACTGAGCATGACCACCAGTAGACTCAGAATTTGTGTATGAAAAAAGAACCTCATGGAAATGTATGTTGAGTTTGAGCTAAGTCACACAGACGTGATCTGCTTTATCAGTACAAAAGTGGGTAATTTTTGCTATCTGGAAACCCAGACAGTTACAGGTCACTAATGAAGCAATTGAGTACTGGAAGGTCTATGGTTGATGCTGTGGCAACAAAAGTATGCAAGACAGCAAAGCATGTGATTTGTTCTCCGGTGGTGACAATTGCTAGTGCCCATGGTATTATAGGAGGCTTTTGGTGTACGACTCCAGCACAGCTTGAAAAGTCTACTAATGCCACGTGCTAACTTTTTGCATTCTAAACATAAAAATGTGTTTTAAGCTTGTACTCCTGCTTTTAACATTGCACAATTCTAAAGTGGAAACAATGGACATATTTAACATGAAACTAATGAACTACATTTTTTTAATTTTAAAGACATTTTTTGTGTTCCAAGCCAAATCACCCAAATCAAGTCTAAATCTGTGACTCAGTCCAGAACCATAAGAGGCCCTACAACCGGCAAACATCCTCCACCTGCACCAGGGGCTTCAAATATTTCCAAAATCTTTTGGCATGCATCCTATGTGCAGGCCTAAGCCTAAAGGCTTGGGGTTCAGATGCCCCCAGGTTTTGCCTGCTCTCAGCCATATGGCTGAAGGACCAAGCTAGGGAGGAGCCTCCCATTTCCATAAAGTGGGCTTTAAGCACCAACACCTCGGCGGGTTCTGAACCGTGCCAGAAGAACAGTTATCCCTGGGAATGCTTAAGAAAACTGCCTTCATGGACCCAGATGCATGGGGTTGCGTCTGCCAGGTGCACTTGATCTTAGCCAAAAGGCTGAGAAGCGATGAAACTAATGAACTACAAGCCTAACAAATGCATACCTTTTGATCCCAGTGTAACAGTGCAACAATGGATATCACTGTCATCCCTGGGATTCTTGTCTTTCTACTACTGGAGAGGTAAGCACTGTAATCCAACAGTGTGCACCATGCATTAGGAACTGGAAATACTTAAGAAGTTGAGATAGTGAACAACGGCAGTGTTTGTCCTGT